CAGCCAAGATCTGCTCCATGAGGGAGGGGAGGGGGGGAGGGGGGGGGGGGGCGAAGGCCCGCGCCGATCGGCAAAACACGAATGACAAAAACGATCACGTGCCACGTGCTGTCTGGGAGGGCTTCTGGGCCCCCGTGACCCATCTGCAGGCAGCCCCATCCCCTCCCGGGAGCACCTCCCCGCGTGCGTCGCCGCCCTCTCCCGAGGCTCCCTGGGCGGCCCGACGCCACCCTGAGGCTCCCACAGGCTCTCCTGGGAGGAGGAGGAGGAGGAGGAGGAGGAGGAGGAGGAGGAGGAGGAGGAGGAGCCCAAGCCTCCAAGACTGCCCCGGAGGGCCTCCAGGGTCGCCAGCATTGCCGGAAGACGCGCCTAACAGCAAACGAGAAGGCCCCGAGAGGCGCCAAACCAAGGAGCAGGCCAAAAGGCTCTCCAGGTAGGCCCAAACTCGCAAATCCCGCAGATACACACGAGATCCATAAAGATGTGTCGATGTAATATGCTCCATCTCCCAGTCACTTCGGCTCAGGACGGGTTCGAGAATGCCCCAGGGAAGGGAGACAGATGCCAAAAGGAATGCAGAAGGGCCCAAAGAAACCCAAGCGACCCAGGGCAATCCCAAAATAGGACCCCACGGGGGCCCGAGAGGGGCCCTGGACAGGCCAAGAGTGCAGACGCCCAAAGAGTGCCCCAAGAGGGGGCCCAAGACGGCCCCAAGAGACCCTCGAGACGGCCGCGAGGCGCCAAGACGGTCCAAGACCAGACCAAGACGGCGCAAGAGAGCCCTGAGACGGCCAGGATGATCCACAGAGGGGCCCCAAGAGGGCCTCACAGGCCCCCTAAGACAGCCCGATGACGTCCCAGGTAGCCCCTGTGAGAGCCCTTCAAGTGACAGAGACGAGAGGCGTCACATGTCACAGCCTCCTGGGCGGCGTTCGAAGCGTTGCCGCACCGAGTGCTGTGCTTGCACGGATGGCGGACTCGCAAAAGGCAGCTGGACAAAACTGCGGGTGGGAGGATGCTGGCATTCTCGGCGGGGCATTTCAAGCCTCTCGGATAATCCCCCGGCTGGTACGACGCGACCTGCACCTGAGGACGCCCGGCAGCCCGTAGCAATCTAGACAGAGCCGGCAGTCTGGGAGCGTTGCCTCGTGTGCTCGAGTATGGACAAATTTGGCGAGCAAGTTTTGGACGGGGATGAGGACAACGTGGCACTTTGGAAATTCGCAGTCTGCGGGGACGCCCAAGAAGCTGCTGAAACACCCACGGCAAACAATACGAGAACGAAGCACACACGATTTGTCCTCCGACGTGGCGGTGACATCACTCAGCGAGCGCATTGCCACGGGCCACGGCAGAAACGAATTGACCAGCTTGCGAGGTTCTAGCAACGCCTGCAGAGCTGAAAGCCCGGTGGCGGTCAAGCAGCAGTCGAACCTTCATGCAGTAAAGACAGGCGCGCGCAAGACAAATTAGGGCCCCCCCACACGCACGCACAGATGACAGCAGGCTGACAGCAAAGCAGCCTGGCGATGGGACCAAGCATACGCAGCTGCACGAAGCTCGGGGCGTGGTCACCTTCTCTTCTATCGCGCTCCACAGGCCAGGGCTGGACCTACACGTTGTGTTCCGTTGTTCAATTTAGTGTTTGTTTTGCTCGACCTGTGTTCCTGTACCTCCCTGCCAAAACGAATACCAAACCACAGCCGAAGTCCAGCAAAACAGCGTTTAGGTCCAGCCCTGCCACAGGCCAGCGCAGAGAGGGGGCTGCGGAGCAAGCGCGCTGAGGCATGACGAATCCCCTCGGGGGTGCTATCTGCGTGAAGGGTGCGCAGAGACGGGCAGACGCCCGCATGCAAACGCGCCCTGTCGAGAAGTCGGCAGAGTCAAGTCGAGCGTGTCCCTATACGAGAGGAGTACTCGAAAATAGTGGAACAAAAACTGGGAACGATTTTCCTACTTGTTTGACTACTTGTGAACTTTTCTGACTATTTTTGCTTTTTCCTCTTAAACCCGCCAGTAAAAGGACATGCCCGACCTAACAGTAGAGCTCATGTGGGGCACGACCTGCGAGAGGGGGGTCTGCATGGGGCGGAGGCCCGCGTGCGAGCGCGCCCGCTGCATATGCGGGGTGTGCCATGTGTGGGCGGGGTCCGCATACGGACCCTCCCACTAGGGCCGTCGGTGGAGCTTCATTTGAATAGAGGAAGACGAAACTGCATAAACATATATTTTTTGGCGCTCCACGCGAATTTCTTGGATCTGCACTGGACCCCCCTCCCTGGCGCGCGGAGCGCGCCAAGGGCGGCACCGGAGGAGCCGCGGGGGGGGGGGCCCAGCGCGGATCCAAGAAATCCGTGCGGAGCGCCAAAAGTTTATGTTTATGGTGGTTTTCTTCTTCGAGTGAAACACAATCCGGACTAGGGTCTGCCAAAGTGGGCGGGAGAACGCCTGCGAACCCTCACTGCGGCCGTGAGCTGGGCTCTAAGTCTCAGATTATCCCAGTGCGACCCTACCTAGGAGATGGAGCATTTAGGAAAGCAACATCTACATCTACACCGACAGCTACATTTACATCTACACCTGCATCTACATCTACATCAACATCAACAGCGAGTCTCACATCTACATCTACAACGCATCTACATACATTCACCCTGCGCTATGCTATGCTATGCTATGCTTTGCTACGCTGCGCTATGCTGTGTTATGCTATGTCATGCTATGCTAGGGTACGCTCGGCTGCGCTGTGTTATGCTAGGCTATGCTAGGATATGCTATGCTGCGCTATGCTATGCCATGCTTTGCTATGCTATGTTATGCTGCGCTATGATATGATATGCTATGCTATGCTGCGCTATGCTGTGCTATCCTAGCCTATGCTATGACATGCTATGCTGCGCTATGCTATGCAATGCTATGCTATGCTATGATATGAAATGCTATGCTGCGCTATGCTGCCCTATGCAATGCTATGATATACTTTGCTATGCTATGCTATGCTAAGCTATGCTATGATATGCTGCGCTGTGCTATGCTGTGATGTGCTGTGCTGCGCTATGCTATGTTTTGCTATGATATGCTGCGCTATGCTATGCTATGCTGGGCTATGATATGATATGCTGTGCTGCGCTGTTCTATGCTACGCTATGCTATGCTGTGTGTTCTCTGCTATGCTAAAGCTCAGCGAAGCTAAGATGAAGGTAAGCTAAGCTAAGATAAACCTGAGCTAATATGAAACTAGGCTAAGCTAAGATGATATAAGCTAAACTAAGATGAGATAAGCAAAGCTAAGCTAAGGGGACGTAACTGGGGGAACCGCGGGGCGGATGCCGGGGGAACCGCCCGGGCTGGTTCCCACTGCCCAGCCCCTTTAAGATACAGGGTAAGAACCCTTCCAGGCAGAGCCTAGGTAGGGAAAAACGCCGCCCAACCCCTCAAGAGGACGAAACAGGGGAAGCCACTCGATCCTTGAAGTAGGAAGGCGCTTAACGTAGATTGGGATCTGGATATCCAAAGGTACCGACTTTCAACGACCGATGAATAACTTTGTGGTACGAGCCGTTTCAAGGTGTGCCGGAGTGGGCGGGGGGCGTGCGAGATCCCAAGACTCTCTGCTGCACGCCTCGGGCCGGATCGATCACGCGTGATGGTCCCTGCGCCCGAAACCAGGCGAAAACGCCCGTCATGAAAGATTGCCACGTTCTGAGGTCCGGCCTCGGCCATGGGACTCCTCCTGGTCCCAGCCTGAGCTGCCCTGGACGTCAGTGTCAAGACGTCGCCCACGAGGTAACATCCCTTGTAGGGCCGCGCCCTGAGGAGCTGTGGGGGAAACTCGCAGACATAATTGCCATGCAGACGTGTGTGTGTATATATATATATATATGAGCACGTAGATGTATGTTTTCGTGCTTGGAGACCTCAGGTAACAGGAGATGCTTTGGAGTCCGGCGGGGCGTCAAAGCAGTACGGGTTGCCGCGAAGATAAACCATACACCTGAGAAAACCCAAATCAGTGGATTACTTTAGAATTAGTACTATGGATCTTGATATCGATTGTGAGATCGATAATGAGATCGATAGTGTAATAGATAGTGAGGAAAATTGTAAGGCCGATCGTGAGACCGAGAGTGAAATCGATTCAAGGAGATCGATAGTGAGATCGATCGCGAGGTCGCTCATGCGATTTCTAGTGAGATCGCTTGTGAGATCGATAGTGAGATCGATTGTGAGATCGATGGTGAGATCAATAGAGAAGTGGGTAATGAGATCGACGGTAAGACCGATCTATAAGAAGATCGCCCCGGAACCCGGGACCCGGGAACCTCGCCGCCCACCGAAATCAGCCCAGAACCTGGAAGTGGGAACCCAGGAACCCGGAACCGGGAACCCGGGAACCCAGCCTGCCACCAAAATCGGCGGGAAACTTTCGCCAAATCTTTCAACCTCCGCGAGGACCCCTTCAGTGCAAGCACTGATTGGGGAACTTGCCGCTTATACAGCACAATATCTGTCAAGCTCAATTATACTCTTCCTATGGCCAGGCCATGCTCTGAAGAGACGGATGATTTGCGCTCTCCTGAATCACGCATTCTGCCTGCAAGGTGGCTGGGCTCTGCACACCAAATTATCCATTGCTATGGTATGTTCTGTGCTCTCCTGGTATTGGCTTTCCCTGGAAGGGCAGGCGGCTTCCGTTACGGCGGTCCTCGCACTCATCGTGCAGAATCGAAAATAAGCATGGGCAGAGGTATGCGAGGAGCCTGAAAAGCTGCAAGATGGACGCGGGGGCCAAGGACCATCATCACCACCAACGAAGGAGAACCAGCATGCAATAGGCCGCCTGTGAGAGCTTTCGTGCACCACCAGCTCCCCTCCCAGCCAGCCGCACCCGAAGGGCAACATAATGACGGTGCAGATCCTGGTCTGCCAAATGCCAACGTTGCTACCGCTCGCGAGCGCCCCGAAAGTCTCCACGATACACGCGACGACAGCTTAGAAGCCCGATGCACCCCCTCGCCAGCAGTGACAGGATGCCGCGCCAGCACGTGCGCCCTGCGCACTATGGTGTCGATGACGCCGTCGATCTCGCCTAGCCTTGGCTTGCAGATCACCTCAACCTGAGAATCATTGCACGCTCGAAGGCGCTGTCACTAAATCACAATCGATCCACGATCGAGGGGCTACCCTCTCAACTCGCTATCCGCATGGTGCTCCTATCCGAAGTCGACAGCTCGCAGTTCCTGGTCCGTCCCCCACTTGAATGGCACTCAAATTCAATGCCAGCTGCAAACTTTCCACGTCACTGGGGGCATTACTTCCATGTAGGGCCTATGGGTGGATGCGCTCAGATTCTGCTAGGCTTGCCGAAGTAAGCGGATATAGCGGTACAGCAGTCAATGCACGATCTCAGTGGCGCACTAGTCGAGCTCACTTCGATCGGAGTTCGATCGAAAAATTCACTTGACAACCCGAGCGGGCTCCCAGGTTAGCTGTGACAAGCGAAGTCCAGCTGGAAGCCAACCAAATAGCAAATAGAGCCCTTTGGCTCCGACCGTAACTGCTTCAACCGGACTTCGCACGGCTCGGGAGCGGCTGGGTCCAGATGGAGGCACACCAGATGGAGCCCCTTGTCTCCGACCGAGAGAGCGAGTTTCACGGGCACTTGCCTTGGGAACATTCGGCGGCGCGTTTCGAACCAGGGGGTAACCCCCCTCCAACACTCGGCGCCGTCGATGAGAACCACGGGGGTGGGGGTCCAAACACCTCCCCGCCGGCGCCGGCACTTGCGCTGGCGCTGGCGGCTGCCAGCAGCGCCGACGGCGGGGACGCAGCGACGATGACCAGAGAGGGCCCAGGGAGAGGGGGGTTTGACCCCCCCGCGCCGGCCCCGGCGCTATCGGCGGCCAGCAGCGGCGATGGCGGGGACGCAGCGACGATGACCAGAGGGCCCAGTGGCCGCAGAGGGAACACACAAATCGCCGTATCGAGCCCTCGCATGCACCTCAGACGCCCCCGAAACTCTTCTGACGAGATCTCGAGAGGCATCCATTAGAACTCTGACCCAAAGCCAAAACACAGTGGCGGGAAGAGCCGACGGCCACACCATCACCACCACCACCACAAACCACAAACTACCACACCACCACCACCACCGCCACCACCAGCACCTCAAACACAACCACCGCAACCCACCACCACAACCACCACCATCACCACAAACCACTACACCACCACCACCAAACACGCCACCACCACCAGCACCACCACAAGCCACCACTACCACCACCACAACCACCACCACCACCACAATCACAAACCACCACACCATTACCGCCACCATCACCACCACCGCCACCACCACCACCATCATCACAATCCACCACCACCACCAACACCACCACTACAAACAACCACACCACCACCACCACAACCGCCACCACCACCACCACCACCACCACCCACCACCCACCACCCACCACCACAACTACCAGCAGCAGCAGCACCACCACCAGCACAACAACCAACACCACAGCCCACCACCACCACCACAAAAAAAAAAAAACACAACGCCACCACCACCACCGCCACCACCACGACCACGACCATCACCACCTCAACCCACCACCACCACCACCACCAAACCACATCGCAACCCGCACCAGCGCAACCGCTACCACCACCATCACAACAGCTCACCATCACCACCACCACCATCACACCAACCCACCACCACAACCACCACCACCACAATTTAGCACAACACCGCCACAACCACCGCTACAACCACCACCACTACTGCCAGCAACACGACCCACCACCACCACCACCACATACCACCACACCACCACCACCACCAGCACCACCGCCACTACCACCACCGCCGGCACCACCGCCACTAGCCACCGCCACAACCACCACCGCCACCAAAACCACCACCACAAACCACCACACCACAACCACCACCACCCCCGCCACAACCACCACCACTACTACCAGCAGCACGACCCACCACCACCACCACATACCACCACACCACCACCACCACCAGCACCACCGCTACTACCACCACCACCGGCACCACCGCCACAAGCCACCGCCACAACCACCACCGCCACCAAAACCACCACCACAAACCACCACACCACAAACAACCACCACACCACCACCAGCAAACCACCACATCACCACCACAACCACCACCACCGCCACCACCACCACCACCACAACCCACCAACACCACAACAAACCACCACCCCACCGCCGCCACCACCACCACTACTACCACCACCACCACCAACCACAACAACCACCAACACAACAACCCACCACCACCACCACAACCAGCACCACCGCCACCCTCACCACCACAACCCACCACAACCACAACAACTACCACCACAACCACCACGACAAACCACCACACCACCACCGCCTTAACCGCCGCCACCTTAACCCACCACCGCCACAACTACCACCACCATAACAAGAAACCACCGCACCACCACCACCACCGCCACCGCCACCACCACCGCCACCACAACCTGCCACCACAAGCACCACAACAACCACCACACCACCACCACCACCAACCACCACACCACCACCACCACCGTCAAAACCACCACCACCATCAGCCCACCACCACCTCAGCGAGGCCCCAGGAGACGCCCGAGAGGCGCCCAGGATGCTTCACAAATGCTCTTCAGAAGCCCCCGAGAGCCCTCCGACGAGACCCCAAGATGCATCCATTAGGATTCTGACCCAAAACCAAGGCACGGTGGCGGAGCATCGTCGTCGTCGTCGCCGTCGTCCTCGTTGACGCTCCCCGCCGCAGCCGCCCGCCGCCCCAGGCGCCGGCGCCGGCCCAGAAAAAGAAATCGTCGTCTTCATCGACGCTCCCCGCGCCGCCGCCGACGACGTCGGCGCGGGCCCGAGGAGAGGGAGAGAGGAGAAGTAGGGGAGGGGGGGGGGTTCGAACCCCCCCCCCGCCTCCGTCACGGGAAGGAGGGGGGGGGGGAGGGGGGGGGAGTTCGACCCTCTACCCCCCTCCATCCAGGGGGGGGGGTCTGGTTCCAACCCCCACAGAACGCGCTCATTCCTCCGACCCCAGATCACCTGAAGCATCACCCAGGACTGCACAGCAGAAAACGCGGACCTGGAAGTCGCCATGAGGATCAAACGCCCCCCGATGTCAAATTCAATGTATGTCCAGCGGACAACCTTTCCGAGGGCCCTGGGGCCTCGTTGCCTGTTAACTTATCTGACCTGGCCGCGTCTTCCAGAATCACCTCAGCAGTTGGAGTGCCCATGTGTGTTTACCAGGTCACGACGGCCCAATAAGCATAAATCCTCGCCCCTGGGGAGCATGCTTCCCAATGTCACACCCGTGAATCTGGACTTGCATCCGGCTCCAAACAGGTATGTCAATAGGGGGTCCCACAAATATTGCTCCCCCATGTCGTGGCAGGACTTGCTTACTCACCAAACCATATGGGTCTTGAGATGAATACGTGAGCCTCCTTTGTCGCTGTGCCTTTGTGTGTATGTGCCAGTGTCTGGGAGTCTCAATTTCAATATTTGCGAGTGCGTCTTTATCAAACTCCTCGATGTGCCGCGGGCCACGTGGCAGCCTTGCTTCTAGGCCCGTTCACGTGAGCTGTTCACGAGCTTCCAAACTGCTCGCATTTGAAGATGCGTGGTGATCTGGAGCCTGCGTGTGCAAATGAGACTCGCGGACAACCAACTGCCAGAAACACAAGTTTTGAAAACGTCGGAGGGGAAAAGCCAATTCAAACTCAGGACAGGCTTCGCGGTCGCGTCGAGATTCGGCTAGGAACCCCGCAAGGACAGCTGGAACGAGGTAGAATTACGGCGCGGACGATCAGGCTGGCCAGCCACGCTGTTTTTCTGACCTTCCGGGGGCGGCGGGCTAACAGCATGCATGCAGAACGACCTCTTCTCCGACTTGCATCTTCAAACAATCGATGCATGTAGACTGGGTGCTGTTTAGTCCTCATTTCTGACCGCTACACCTTACGGAGTCCTCGCCCACCTCATCGTATTTCTATTCATCCTGTCGCGCCCATGTATCGCATGCTGTCCTGCTGGCTTCAAGCCCCTGCTTCTAAACTGCACTCATGGCAACCCAGAGCTACCACACGGCATCGATCGGCAAAATGATTCTCACATGCGCTGCGCTATGCAAAACCCCCCTCACAAACCAGCACGACCAATGCCTTCAATCGAACCGTCGTGGCCATGCTTTCAACTGAACCGTCATGCCATAGCCTGTGACAAATTGCCGGGATGTCGAAAGGCACGTGTACACGCCGCTCGTCGCTTGATGCTTGCCAAGGGGAAATGCCTTATCTCGCATGCCTGGGCCCATGTGGCTTCATGAGAACTGATTCCACTGGCCCGGTAACTAATACACGCCGACGTTCAGCTTCAGAAACCAATCTCGCCAGATGAGAATCTCGCAAACAACATGGCATGCGAAAGTGTTGCTTGTTGAACTGACGCGGCGCGGTGGCGGCTCCCAGACCCCGGGCTACCTTGGCTACCGTGAGCTGCTGCTCATAGGGGTTGACGGAACCAGCCTTCACTCTGAGCGGCGCTTGGGCTCCGCTCCCAGGTGCTCTCGCAGTGGGCCGAGCACCCCTGGGGGTGCGGGATTCGTCCACGGGGGCCCTGCCCGTTGAGCAAGAGGCGAAATGCCAGAGGCACGCGCAGCCAAAATGATATATCCATATCCACGCCGTCTTGGATGTTTGGAGAAGGGTTGCCAAAAATCCGAGACGCATTGAAGAGGTGCAGACAAGCAAATCTCGGTATATGACATCCACGCTCAGTGCGCCCCGGGGAAGGGAGCCCGAAGATCTGAGACGCAGCGGATGAGGACATACATCCTGCGCGCAGGAGGGGGAGGGGAAGTCCTGGCTCACTGATGGCCTCGCCCCGGCCACGTGCAGAACAGAACACTCCCAGCGGCCGCCATCTCTGACAAGAGAGCGCGAGTGCGTCACGCCCCCCGCCCCAGCGGCCACTGTGGAGCTTCGACCGCAGCTCGTGGCACTCCGGCCACTCCTGCCCGCGAGGGCCGCGGGGCCGCCGCAACCTCAGAGAGTATCCCCGTGCTTCCTCCCAGGCCCCACCTATCCCTCGGCCTCTCGTCTCTGCTCCCGCCCCTGGCCGCCTGCCACCATCGTCGCGCCATCGGGCCATCATCCCGTTCCTCATTCCCCTCCCCCTCCTCCACTCTTCCTCCTCCTCCTCCTCTTCCTCCTCCTCATCCTCCTCCTCCTCCTTTTTCTTCTCCTCCTCCTCCTCCTTCTCCTCCGCCCATTTGTCCTCCTCCCCCGCCGCCTCTTCGTCCTCCTCCTCCTCCTCCCCCCCTCCCTGAGCAAGGTCGTGACGCCATTTCGTTGTGTTCCTCTGGCGACGAATCGGTGATGCATTTGCGACTCTGGCGATGCCTCGGCACCGTTCGCGGGGGGAAAATCGGGCTCCACATCGAGCATCATGGCCGATGCATCGGCGATGCGGCGCGATCCTCCAAACCCATCTACTCGGACCACATTTGGGCTGGAGCTCTGAAGTTGGCAGTGCCTCCCCAAGGGATGCGGCCCCTTTTCGTCCTACCACGTGAGTAAGGAGCCCACGAAGGACGCACGCGCCCGACCATGTACGTGAATACGGTCCCCCAGCTCGCGAGACCAGCCGCGTGATACGAACGTTCGCGCAACGCCTACTCTCGAAACTAACGTGGATTCATGTACGTGTACGTCCTTCGTTCGCTCTGGAGTGGGGGTCGCCTGCTGCTCTACGTGCCGCGCCGCGCCATGCCCGGCCGCACATCCTGCACCACCTTCCGGTCCTGAGCAAGGGCGGCCTTTGCCGAGGGTGACCTCCCGGTGCGCTGCCGTGTGGGGCCGAGCCCACTCCAAAGGGCACCGCCAGGAGTGCTGAAGAGGAGCTGCCAGGCGCCCCATGTTTGGCGGCGAGCGCGGGGGGGAACCAGAAGGGGCGTGCCTTCTCAGGAGGCTCGGAAGAACTTCCCTGGCCTTCTGAGCAGTTCTCTACGCCCTCCCCGAAGACACGGACAACTTCTCGGACGCCGCGAGGTTCTCTGAGAAGTCCCGCCGCCCTCTGACAAGTGCTTCTCCTTCTCACTTCCCCCACTCGCTGGCCGCCGCCATGTGGCCGATTCCAGAGCCCCTGAACCCAAACATGTTGTCACCTCTTGGGAGGTCGACTTTTGCTCTCGCCGGCTTCCGCCGGCGGAGCCGCTGCCGCTTTACTTCCGCCGACCTTCCGCCGACCTTCCGCCGCGGACGAGATGGCAGCTCCTTCGATCCTCGAAGGCAGGGCCCTTGTCGGATCGCCGCATGTGGTCCAGCACCAGGATATCACCCCAGCGAATGCCCAGTCGGGCGAAAGGGGAGGGGGGAGCGCAAAGGAAGGCGTTAGCGAATCCGCTCACGAAACTGATTTCTCCGGCGCCTGCGGGGCGTAGGAGGTGCCAGTGTATCGACGGAGGCGCCCGCCGGTGAGGCCGAAAGCAGCTGCACGCAGCAGAGTTCGCACCCCTCCTCCGTTACCCCCGACAGGCAAGACCGGTCCACAAGAAAACCATCGCAAGAAACCCAGCAAGGAAAGTCGCCCGAGTTTATTGGGCAAGGGCTGGGCTTTTTTTTGTGTTCAATACCAGCAGGGACGGCGGATGGTCGCACCCCGCTTAACACTGACCAAAGCCAAAGCCCTGTCTATCGGATGCTACATATTGGTTGCATATCAACGCGTGGCCCCGGCATGCAGCGGGTCGGAAACAAATATTTATCGTGTGCACCAGCTTTGAGTGTCACACGATGCCGTACCACAAGCATAGCGAGCGAGCAGACTGAATTCAATACAGCCCATATCTTCAGAAAGCACATGGAGAGGCAATATGATCCCTATGAGGAGGAGGACGACGACGAGAAAGGAGTGGATAGCCGCATGCCAGCTGCTCAGCCGCTTGTCGAACCGCGCGCTGCCCGCAGGGTGCCGCTTCGCGGGGGCGTCTGGACTGGACTGCTAACGCCTTGGGCTCTAACTAGAAAGGGGCCCAGGGACACATAAATAACAAATAGGCACGCATCCCAGGATTCCCCATCTTTCCCCATCTCTTCTAGGTTCTCGTCTTCCTCCCCACTTCCCATCTTCTCCCACGTTCTCCTGGGAGGCAACGATTCATTACGTCCGTGTTTTCCCCCCTCCTGAAACGAATCCGCTATGCACTGAACTGTCGCGCGGAAGATGTGCCGTTCGCCAGGTCCTCTGGCAGTGCACCTCCTCGTCTCGGGCCCGCTGCGGCGGAAGCGCCGCCGCGGGGCAGAGCGAGGCCTATAGCCTTAGGTCGGGCGTGTCCCCCAACAGGCGGATTTCGGACGAAATGATAAACATACAACACAAAAAATCCTCCAACATAGTAAACAATAGGAAAATAATCGTCCCCTGACCATTTTTGTTGACCTTCTTTGGATATTCCTCCTGTAGCGGCACAGGCCCGACTTAAACATAGCCGCTGGCTGCCCGCTGCCCGACAAGGTGCGCCTCCGGGGCTCCCGCCGCGGCCGCTCCGGCCAGCGTGGCGTGTGTGTTGCGCGGGCCGAGCCGTCGGCCAGAGACCACCGCTCGGCGACATGCGAGAGCTTCGTTGCCTCGATACGCGCGTTTTGAAACGCAACTAGGGGAACGAAGAATGACATAATCAAGGGCAGCAGCGTGGAATAGGGATTCCCCGCTGCAATGTCCCGGCGGAGAACCGCGGGCCACGCGGGGGCTCGTCGTCGGGCCCTCCGCCAGTGGCTCCTCCTTCTTCTCCTTGTCGTCCCCCGCCCCCAATCGACCCCCTTGAAACCCTGCGGGGGGCAGTCCCACGAGCGTGGCCGAAATGTGGCTGAGGCAACTCCACTCGCCTGAACCCCCCCGGGAGAAACGATCAGAAGAGGGGTTGCACTCGAATGCGCGACGACCTTGCACGGTGGCTCACGCAGGCCGCTCGCGCGGCAGACGCGCGAACTTACGAGGGCGGCATGCGCGCGAGTGCCCGCGCAATCGACCCCCTTGAAACCCTGCGGGGGGCAGTCCCACGAGCGTGGCCAAGACGTGGCTGAGGCAATTCCACTCGCCTGACCCCCCAGGGAGAAACGATCAGAAGGGGGGTTGCACTCGATTGCACGACGACCTTGCGCGGTGGATCACGAAAGCCGCTCGCGCGGCAGACCGCATTAAGACGCCTACGCGCCACCTTCCGCGGGCAGCTCACGCACAAGTGCACGCGCAATCGACCCCCTTGAAACCCTGCGGGTGCGCCCTCCCGCGGGCGCTTTGAAATGTGTCGCCCGGTTGCGGTTGCGGTTGCGGTTGCGCGCTCCCGCGGGCGCTTTGAAATGTGTCGCCCAGTTGCCGTGGCGGTTGCGGTTGCGCGCTCCCGCGGGCGCTTTGAAATGTGTCGCCCTGTTGCGGTTGCGGTTGCGCGCTCCCGCGGGCGCTTTGAAATGTGTCGCCCGGTTGCGGTTGCGGTTGCGAGCCCGCGGGCGCTTTGAAATGTGTCGCCCGGTTGCTGTTGCGGTTGCGAGCCCGCGGGCGCTTTGAAATGTGTCGCCCGGTTGCGGTCGCGGTTGCGGTTGCGCCCGCGGGCGCTTTGAAATGTGTCGCCCGGTTGCGGTTGCGGTTGCGGTTGCGCGCTCCCGCGGGCGCTTGAAATGTGTCGCGGGTTGCGGTCGCGGTTGCGCGCCCGCGGGCGCTTTGAAATGTGTCGCCCGGTTGCGGTTGCGGTTGCGGTTGCGCGCTCCCGCGGGCGCTTTGAAATGTGTCGCCGGGTTGCGGTTGCGGTTGCGCGCCCGCGGGCGCTTTGAAATGTGTCGGTTGCGGTTTGCGGTTGCGGCTGCGGAAATGTGCGCGCTCCCGCGGGCGCTTTGAAATGTCGTCGCGGTTGCGGTTGCGGTTGCGCGCTCCCGCGGGCGCTTTGAAATGTGTCGCCGGGTTGCGGTTGCGGTTGCGCGCTCCCGCGGGCGCTTTGAAATGCGTCGCCCGGTTGCGGTTGCGTTGCGCGCCCGCGGGCGCTTTGAAATGTGTCGCCCGGTTGCGGTTGCGGTTGCGGTTGCGCGCTCCCGCGGGCGCTTTGAAATGTGTCGCCCGGTTGCGGTTGCGGTTGCGCGCCCGCGGGCGCTTTGAAATGTGTCGCCCGGTTGCGGTTGCGGTTGCGGTTGCGCGCTCCCGCGGGCGCTTTGAAATGTGTCGCCGGGTTGCGGTTGCGGTTGCGCGTTCCCGCGGGCGCTTTGAAATGTGTCGCCCGGTTGCGGTTGCGGTTGCGGTTGCGCGCTCCCGCGGGCGCTTTGAAATGTGTCGCCCGGTTGGGTTGCGGTTGCCGCCGCCGGATTGCGCTCCCGCGGGCGGTTTGAAATGTGTCTCCCGAGCTGTCCCCTGACGTTCAGTCAGTCATCAGTCAGCCGGCGGGCACGGAATTTCACCGGGCTCCGCCGGGAAACATAACAACTCGGAGGACCGTGCGGATTTCTCGGATCCGCGTGGGACCCCCCTCGCGGCGCCTCCGGCGCCGCCCCTGGCGCGCTCCGCACGTCAGGGAAGGGGGGTCCAGCGCGGATCCGAGAAATCCGCGTTGACCTCTGAGCTGTTATGTTCATGTCATTGTTTGTTTCCCGAGAAACACGTCCCGTGTTCAAGACGTCCGTGTCAATACGATGCGTGTTGGCTCCACGTATTCGACCAAATTTTGGCGAATGTATCGCGTCGGGCCTATGCTTTCAGCCTACGTGTTGAGCTCCGTATCAATACGACACGTGTTGCGTTGTGCGTATCGGGGCAGCTAAGTGCAAGAGTGACCCTGGGCAAGGGTGACCTCTCGTGCGCGGCTTTTTGGTCGCAGCGGGGGGACCAAACGCAAGCGCGCAGGCCGCTACCATCGCAGTCGCGCTCGGCGATCGGGGTACCCCAATGGGCCCACACCAAAGGTCACTCCTGCGAAGGGTTACCCTTGCGGGTAGTCGAACCGCCCCCTTGGCGCCGCCGCGGCCAGCTACATGCCCGGGATGGTCCAGGCGGTGACGCCAGTCTGCGGGTTGTAGAAGTAGGTCTGGCCGCCCTGGGTCACCTGCAGCCAGGGGCTACTGCTGGCGGGCGCTGGCGCGGGCACCTGCGCGGCGGCGGGCTGGAAGACGCCAGCGCCCACGCCTGCTGCGACGCCCTGTCCTGGAATCGTCGTGCTACACGGTGTCGTCGACGGCGGAAGGGGCGTGGTGGTGGGCGGCGGCTCCGACACGCCGTCAAAGACGGAGAAGCCGTATATCTTCACGTACTCTGGGCAGTCCCTCGGCGTGTCCATCTCGCAGTCGCCCTCTATCCCGCCAGCAGGGTCCGACCGGGAGCCATCCATCCAGCCGAGCCCCTCGTTGCTCCAGTAGCTGATGATGGGTGTCATGCCGGCGGCCAGGGCCTCCGAGATCTCGGCCATGCCGTTCTTACCGCCGAACGTGTAACTGTCGATCGTTGCCGAGATCTTGCACGGCCTGCCCTCCTGAGAAAGGATGACCTGCATTGCTTTCAGGACGCCGTTCGCGTCGACCGGGAATCCGACCTCGACGTCGAACGGCGCCGTCGTGGCCACGCAGTTGCCGTCGGGCCCGTAGTCGGCGGGCCCCCAAGACTTCTTGTGCGGGCCCGTGCCGCCGTAGCCAGCCGCAGACCCCGCGCCGTCTTCGGCCGTGTGCAGCGTCGACCGCCAGGAGTGCATGTTGGCCTCCTGGAGGTCCACCTCCGCGCACGGCACACCGCACACGCGGTTGGCGTCGCAGTAGTAGTCGCTACACTCGGACTTCTTGGTGTTCTGGGCGAGCGACGTGAGGTAGACTGCCGCGTTGCAGCCACAGCCAGCGCCGTTCAGGTCCACCGTCCACTTGATCGTCCGGCCCAGGAGCGACAGCGCCTTGTACTGCACGGCCTCGTAGCTCTCCTCGGAGCAGCTCTCGGCGAAGTACGTGCGGCCGCTCATCCACGCCACTACGGCGCCGTCCTGCACCTCAACCTTCTGCGCCGCGTCGCCCGGGGTGTTGACCATGGCGTTCACGAGGTTCACGTACCCCTCGCCGGGCAAGTCGATGCCCCCTGGGCACGTCGGCCGGACCGCCTGGACCTCGTGGCAGCGCGCACAATGGGGGTAGAGGGAGGGGGTAGGCTTCTTAGAAGGAGGCTGCTTATTAGAAGGCGCGGGCCTCACACCTACAGATGAAGCCCGCGCCTTCTACGAGGCAGGGGTGTTTCTAAGAGGCCTCCTCCCCTGCCCCTACCCCCCTCTGCGCGTGGCCGAACCTCGACATCCACGTCGTCCTCGCCGATGTCACCGTCGCTGAGGTCCACCTCGACGACGTTGCCGTCGCCCAAATCCACCACCTGATTTTGAGCAGGGACCGACTGTTCTGGCATTCCTATAGTTCTACAGCGAATTTTTACTAGAACCCAGACATGTTCGAAAAAACAATTTTCTTAGAACACGAACCCTACGTGCTAAAACAAGACTGGCCCAGCCAGGAATGCTCCAATAACACGTCGTACAAAACACCGAAGGTTCTTACAACATTCTTAGGTGGGCCTATAGGCCGACCTCCACTGCTGGATTCATGTTGCCCCTATCGCACTTCAGGACCACATCCCAGAAACAATCGCGAGCACCCAGAAAAAAACGGAAACTGTGTCGAACGACGATCGCCCCTCCCAGCACTTCCTTGGGGCTCGACATTTCTGGTGGTGGTCCAGGTTACTCCTAGTTTCCTAATAAACGTCGGGGGGGCGTCACCCCCGCCGACAGCCCCACATCAACCCCCGTCGCGGGCAGCCACCGCGCGCCGAGGGCGCGCCGTTCCCCGTCGCGGCGCGACGACGAGGCGAGGTTGACCCCCGTCGGGGGGGTACCCCCCACGCTTACTGAGAAACCCGGAGCACCCCCTGCACTGCGCGCGCGGTGCCATGGCTCGCCTTGGGGCGACCCCCCGTGGCATCGCCCGGTCCGCGGGGCGCGGCCTCCCGCCGTCGCCTCCCTGCGGATTTCGAAGGATGTATACGTCCCCAACCGGGGTGGTAATTTGGGGTCTCGAAGGGGATGCGGATGGGGATAGGGGGTCACTTGAACGATGTTGAAACGCAGGCTGGGACATCACAGTGCTTGGATGCTCCACCTCCTGCAGCTGGAGCGGCCTGCGCGTGCCGGCGGGGGGCAGCGGGGGCGCGGCCGCACCGCCGCGGCGACGGGGGCCCCCCGCGGCCAGCAACGCCAGGGCCACCGCGCCGGCCAGGGCGCCGGCTGCCCAGGCTCGCCGAAGGCTCCGAGGAGCGCCCGCAGGCCGAGCTAAGGGGCCGATTTTGCACCACCACCACCATATGTAGGGAGGAGGAGGAGGAGGAGGAGGAGGAGGAGGAGGAGGAGGAGAAAACGGAGGAGGAG